TGGAATAAAATGTACTAATCCCGATTTAGCCGAATGACCTATCTATCTTAATTATAACAATCTGTAGCTTTTTGAAAATTTTATTGAGATTGTGTGACATTATTTTTATTATTTTTTTTTTCTAATGAAAATTTATAAATAAATAATAATTCCAAAATATCTCTTAGAATTTATATCATTTTTTCTTATATTTAAATTGGTATATATTTTTTTAATATAATACGTATAGTTTTGTGACTTGTTTTATTTTGTGCAATTTATTAAAAAAAAAATATTAAAAAAAACATTAATCCTGTAATTTTTGTGAATCTTCGGATAATTGGAATAAAATGTACTAATCCCGATTTAGCCGAATGACCTATCTATCTTAATTATAACAATCTGTAGCTTTTTGAAAATTTTATTTTTTATATATTTATTGTGTGACATTATTTTTTTTCTTATGAAAATTTATAAATAAATAATAATTTATTGAATTTCTAATGTCTTTAATGTTAAATTTAAATTCAATTTTATATTTTTACTTGGGAAGTGGCTGCAAACTATACGAACACAAAAATTGTAATATTTTCAATTGAATCAATGAAATGCCGAGACTTATAAAATCACCGGTTGTTAAATATGTAAATGAAAGTGGAGGATAATTACATAGTTGCCTCTTCTTTTTGTTTGAGATATCGCTCCTCGAAGTATGAATGATTTTGATGTTGAACGGTACAAAGTAGTCGAATTAGTATTGGTGATTGGTGGAATTGGCAGTATTCATAAGGTCTGGAAATGGAAATCTCGAAGGTACTATTATTAGGGTCTGTCTCCCATTTTTTTTTTATTTTTCGCAGGTGGCGCAGCTATGATTTCGCGACGATAATCACGGATGGACGCTGCGCCTTAATTATCGATTGCTATTGCATGCGTAAAATTTCGCGTTCCGAAAAGTGGCCGCGATTTGCATTTGGCCCAATCGGACCAAAAATTGCTAGTCATATTTTTTTGCTTCATCTAAGATAACCATAAAATTTGCAAGCGAAATTGACGGGGCAGATGATACGACGCACCGACCACAAAATATTTACGAAAGTAGCAGAAGAAG